CCCCTCCCCTTTCACCAAAACTTCACATTCACACTACCCCATCAGACATGTTCTGCAACAACAGCTCTCCAGCAATCCTCACTAAACAAATTAAAGTCCAGATAATCAGGCCTGTCCCCTTTCCAGAACATTGAAATGGTAAACAATCTATGACAACATATACAGGGTTAACGCTATTTCCAAATTCATGTTCCACAAAAAAATGAAATACAACAAACATATCTTCTCCCAAGAACATTCACAACATATCATGTACACAACATATAACTACACATCTAAGTACCATCATGTCATTATTCTAAACCATAAGGATATTATGTATTAGTAGATTCCAATTTAATTGGAGGGATAATTTCAATTTAAGATCACATAAAATATGTACAGTACGTTACAATTCACAAAACATACCTTTTAATGAATGTATTCTCCTATATCGTAATGTTCATAATTTTGCATTTTAAGAATTTAAACTTAGTTTTTTCTCAATTGTTCTGGTCTTTGCAATGAAATTGTCCATGTTAATGAAATTGTTATGTTGTACTATTTTACTTCTCCGTTCCGGTTTTTTTAATAAATTGAAAATTGAAATTGAATAACCAAACCTTGGGAGGTATTACACAATAGTATTTCCAAGTTCAAGGTAATTAACATTTCTATAGAACAGATGAAATTATTAATTTATATGATCGTTATTTAATTCATGATAAAATATAATCCTTTTCTTCAATGAAAATGGGTAAAATATGTCAATCATTATTTAGATATTGATTATATGCAAAGTCATAAATAAATGTCTTTTAAAGATCGATGGAAATATTGCCTTGGAATATTATCAATATTATTCTTATTTTCCTTGACAAAAACAGACAGAATTTGTTCCTACTCTGGCACCAGAAATTAAAACACTGACTTTTCTCAATTCATTTCTTCAATGAAAATATGTAAAATATGACAATCAAATTTATTGTTATTTATTTTTATAAATGGTTTTAACTTGGGAAATGTCTTTTAAAGATAATTTGATAACATTGCTTCGAAAAATGGTCAATATTATTCTCATTTCTCTCATCAAAAATAGACAATATCAAATTTGTTCAAAGAAAATTGACACCAATGATTAAATTACAGAAATTTCTCTTTCAAATATATACAGGGTAGTGTTAATATAAGAATTTTTAAATTCTGGTGAATTTAGGATGTCTGAGTACTGAAGTAACATGTACAGACAAGTAAATACATGCTATTTATATTACATAAGCGTAAAGTGCTTAAACAAAAAACATAGTCCATATTCAGATATACCACTTACATTGTGTAATTATGAAATGTAAGCAAAATAGAAACTATACAAGGGCCTTGCAATAGAGCTGATTTTTTTTTCAATGGAACATCAAAGTTATGCATGACTGAAATGCAATTTTAGTCACCACAGAAAAATTACATACCAAGTCATATTCAAAGAAAAATAAAACTTAAGAACACCATAAAATATGTTTTAAGGTGGCTAACACATTAGCTGATATAATTAACTTGCATTTACACTTCATTTTGTATTTACACATTTTGGATTTATTCGGTGTAAACACTAAGGATAGCCCACAAAATTCTAGAGGAAGACTTATTTCCAGTGGGGTCTTTCTGGTGGTGATTGGGCATTACACCGGGAGACAATCCCCTACTCTTTTCCAAAGAGTGTACTGCGTTGTTTAATGTACACATGGGTCATAATGCACACAGGACCAACGGCTTAAACGTCTCATCCGAAAGACCTCTAGCTGAAACACAAAGAGAGGCAGCGATGGAAATTGAACCGGGGGCCTAGAGATCTTCACAGTTCAGCGCACACACAGTGGCTACCACCAGACTAGCCGACTAAACTAAGCTGCTCTCTCAAAAATTGTAACACCCACTGCTAGTTACAGTGAAATAAATTTAATCGACATCTGTATGTTTAACAAGACTGAACAACTAGGACAAGAATTTACCAAACCATGTATTGTTCCACTTTAATAATGGGGCACACATTGAGGTTTGTCTTGATGTTCCTGCAGATTCTTGACAAGTAATGTGTCGTCCAATGAATTAATATTTTCAGACAGCACATATATATTACTACTGGACCACACATAATCTTCATGAAATGGATGTCAATCAAAAAATGTAAAAACTGTAACATGATGATATTACCCCACTGTCACAATGTAATAGTACAATTTCTGGTGGCTTCAACCCTACACCAAGAACAACATACATTTGGTTGTCAAGCTACATACACATAATGTATACAGTATCTCTCTGGGCGGTGATGCAATAAAACAAATCCACCTCTATATCTGCATGTATACACTGACCATTAGAATGCGAGAAAATCATTTCAGCTAATGTGAAAACCACTTCAAATAAAATACAACTTGAAACATTTACATTTTTTATCACACACATATAGGAGACATATTGGAGAGACAACAGAACTTTAAAAACATAAGACTTTTAAATTATCAAATTACATATGAAATAAATAATAAGATCTAAAAACTGTACATCAACTGACGATTCTCACGATTGAAGCCAATGTAATGCTATAACTACCATAAATAAGAAAAGCAGGTTTGTTGAAGGCCGTAGAGCTGTGCTAGTCCCTTTTGGGTTGTTGGTTATATAATCCTTATATAAATGATTACCTGCAAAATAAAGATATGATGGAATGAAATATAAACTGCTGAATATACTGTACTTCTTCATTCACACTGCTACCTACCCTCTGGGAACAGGGTATTTCATATAATGTATAAATAGGCTAATGATTACAAATTGTTTTGCAGTCTGTACTTTCTTAAGGCTGCAGGCAATTAACTTAAAAATTACTTTACAACATCAATCATGCTATTTTACTGGGTGCAGCCAGTTTATTTGTACTTTGAACTCTGATTCAACATGTCGAAAGCTAATTATGTCATTTACAAGTTGCTATTTTGAGCAGCAGAGCACAGAGATCATTATAAAGGGGATTATGGGCATGTAATGTGGAAGTGGTTTGGTGCAGTGGGAATGGTTTGGTCCCATAACCTTGAGGTCAGTTTCAATTCTTCACTGTGCACTTCGTTTGTGTCCTAGCAATTGTCCCTTCATCTACATTGCTAGTCTACCCAGCTGTATCAATGGGTACCAGCAAATTGCTGGGAGTAACCTATAGTGGACCAGCATCCCACTCAGGGAGTATTATACACACTCTCATCTGCTTCAAGTGTGATGTGGAGATCGCAGCCTATCTTCCTGAGGGCCGAAGCTACAAAAACAGGGAATACATGCCAAGATCATAAGCCCTGGTCCTTTATTAAATTTATTAAGAGCTGAGGCTGAACAACCCAAAGAAGTTCAGTGTGAATGATAAGCTTGTTTCAATATTGCTGTATTGGTTTGTACAGTGCTGTCCACATGGACTAATGTATTATATTTTTTTGTAACAGACTTGTTAAAAGTTAACAGAGTTCACATGTTTGTTTGTACAATGATTGTGAGATTTACACTTTTTCTTAATCGATCAGCTGATAATAATAAATAATTGTTTGGATAAAACATAAAACTTACATTTCAAAGAATCATAAAATCATGTTTTAGAAAAATTTAAGATTCATAAAATCATAGTGGAGTGGGGGCTCAATGATCAGTTGAGGGGCGCTAATTCGCAAAATATAGTGATTTTAGGTGATTTTTAACTACTTGACATGACTGGAGTGGTGAGAAATTTTTTGGGGGGTGTGCACCCCGCGCCCTCCCCTAGATACACCACTGATTTCAAGCCTTAGTTAAATAAACAATCTGTTGACCATTTCCAGAACTAGGACTTTAGAACATGATTAATTTGACCACTGAAGTATTATAGTAATCTCTAATGAAGTAGGACAAAAACCAACCAGGATTTTCTTTCTACTACCTCCATGATTAGACATTAAACTGTTGATCTATAGTGAAACACAAATTTTGATTTTCATGCCATGTTTTGAGGTCCCTTATTTTATAGCTCATTTACTGGATACTGGCCTGTGCCACAACTTAACCATTTTGCCACAACATGCCTCATATATGAAAATGACATGTACTTGTTGTCTGATTAATGTAAATCCTGTAGGTGACGAGTGTACCTGCAATTTCATGTGACGGAAATAAAGATATATCATCAGACCAAGGAAAGCCATGAGAAATTGTAGTCAAAACATATAAAACCATAAATTAAACTTACTTGTTGGTGGCAGTGGAGTATTATCATATACTTGTGGGGTTATACACATCTAGATGTGTATAAGAGACAGTGTATACACTGACCATTAGAATGCGAGAAAATCATTTCAGCTAATGTGAAAACCACTTCAAATAAAATACAACTTGAAACATTTACATTTTTTATCACACACATATAGGAGACATATTGGAGAGACAACAGAACTTTAAATATAAGAGACAGTATATATATATATATATATATATATATGTAGTTTCTAACATATATATTCAAGGATTTATAAAGGCGGTACTACATTTTTACTGTACTAAAGCTTGATCTTATAAAACCGCTATGCTGTAACAACATTTTCACTGGAATCTGCATAGCTGTTTGGATGCAATTTGACAGGCTCTGTCTGTGTCGCAAAAAGCTTTTGGTTACAACATGTGGCGATTTTATGGAAACCAGTGTGCCCCTTAACCCTCCTTTGTTTTTTTTTTTGAAAAATAGATCTATCCCTTGTCATAAAGCTTGGTGAATACATGAGGGATAGATAATATGTGACCCAAGCTCACAAACAGGCTATAAACTCGTCCTCAGGCCAAAATGAGTTTTTTTTTTTGTTATAATGGCATAGAACATATCATTTACTTTAAAATGACAGTTAAATGAACTCAATTGGGTGTCTGGAAGCAAAGTTAAGACCGTTTGAATAATTGTCATCTTATCAACTTTCTTAAATCAAGTTTTGAGAAAAATGCTTTTATTTTCAGCAGGTTTCTATTCATTTTTCATTAGCTCCCATCCAAAAATTGCTAAATTTTACCTCTTACAGTTGGAATTTTAAACTCAAACTTCAGAAATAGTAAGATTAATAGTTATACTTTATTTATTACACAAAAACACAATTCACACAAAATTCACATTCTGGGTATTGAGGCTTGTTTCTCAATACAGTGCAGTGCGAGTTTACAGCCCGTTTGTGAGCTTGGGTCACATATATTAAATGCTTGTGGTACACTACATAGATGGTTCTGAAAAGAACTGTTGTATTTTTGAGAATGCTTCAACACTTCAATCAATCATCATCAGAAGAGGCCTCAGCTGTTTAGTGCTCCACCAATAAGCAGCAAGTCTCACTTTCCAATTTTAATTTCCCCTGTTTGGACTCTCCGCAAATATTATTCTCCTGATGACAAATGAAGTATCTTAATTGAAACTTTAAAGACATTCTCAGTAACAGTTGTTTTCAGGACTATCTATGTGGTGTACCGCAAGCATTTAATATATAATTACTTTATCATGCAAACCTAATACATGAGTGATCTTAACTACCTTTGGCAAGTTCTTGACCATTGCTGTACTATGCTTAATCCTTTCAAATCTATCTGCAAAAGGGGTGTCAGATGGAAGGTGCCGTACACCCCAAGTTACTCTGTAGCCAGTTACCATCTCAGGTTTACTGGATGGTTTGTTCCACTCCAGGGTGAGGGAAAGACTAATCCCCAGGCTAAACCGATGACTCAAGTCCATTGGTTTTGATGGAACATCAGGAGCTGCGGAAGAGAAGGAATAATTTCTTGTGACATTGCAAAAGACACACATTCTATACGCTCTAGTACCTAAGTTTAAAAAAAATAAATAAGTTTCAAGCAATAAATAACAATAAATTACAAGTGTAATATACATAGTGCTTTAAAGTGAAGCAATGAACTGTCAACAACCCCATAAATTAAAAATTAAAACAAAAAAATAACAAATACTGTACATGAGATTGAAAAAAAAAAGAAAAAAAAGAAGACACATTCAGACTGGAATTCCAAAAAGACATCCAACAATTAATTACATACATTTAAGTTGAAATAATACTGAATTTGTTCATTTCATTATTACAAAAAAATGAATTAAAACAAATTGGTTTTGATAAAACCAAATCAATCATTAAAAAGAAATGAAGTTAAAGAATTAAACATTCAGTAAAGTAAACAAGAAACATTTTCCAAATTCCAAATTTATCCTGAATTTTGTTATGACATGACATATAATTTAGCGTATTGATTGCCTCAATTCTTCCATTTGGATTTTCATTTTAGTATTTCAGCATCAATTTTTATTAATTAATTTTATTATTTATTTCTATATTTAAGATTATTTTTGTTCTTTTTTGTTGTTGACTGACCAGGGTGTGTGTTAAGTTAATTACGTTGATAACCTTCAGAGGCTTCATCATCAGCTACTGTCGGTCAACTGCTGGACACACGTCTCAGGATGTCGACGCCAAATCAATCTTTCTCCCTTGCTGTGTTGCACCATTTCACTCTTCCCTAATAAATATCATCTCATCTCTTAATCTTTTACGTTGTTTCCCTTGTTCGTTTTGCCATCTATAGGGTCTGTTACTGTTTTTCTTTCTTTTTTTTATTTTTTAAGAGTCCTGAGAACTCTTTTTGTTAATGTGCATGCTCGACATGGCTCGATAATGTCACTTTAAAATGCACATGCTCACTGTGTTTTTATAGATAATTCACGGACGTTATTTGGTAACTGCGCATGCACATTGCTTAGTTTGGAATTCCCTTTTCTTCGCAGTAAAAGCTAACGCTATCTACAGTTTCTTAATGACTGTCTCCTCTTGATAGTTATAGCCTAAATGTGCCGCATAAAAAAAAGAAACTTACCTGGAGTGGGGCAAGGAGGCTTTTGCTTGCCCTTAACGATGACCTCGTTGCATAGAGGTGTCTGGAAGTAGTATGTAGTGGCCGCTCCCTTTCTGAAGTTAGTGTCCACAGGATGGATGATAACTTCATAGCGACAGTCAAATATCAAACCATACAGCATAAACTCCAAATCCTAGAAGAAAAAACAGAAAAGGAAAATGTAAATCAATCAAGGTAAATAAAATAAGGGTAGATGTATACCACATAAAGGTAAACTTAGAAAAAAAACAAGGGATGCAAATTTTGGAGATATTTAACAAGTACACAACATGCCAGATTGAAAGCATACATGAAGTAATAGCAGACCAAGATACATGTAGCATACATGGCAACATACATGTAACATGTGTGCAGGTATACATGCAACACATGTACACAGCATGTAAAATCAGTACTGCTCTACATGCCAGTTATACTGAAAGCAAGCATGTAGTATATTCATAAATTCATACATCCGTATATCGAATATATGTGTCTTTTACCAAATATTTGTTTGCACATGGTATATGTTTGTGTGACATGGTTATGTGGTCCAGTACACATACATGCAACACATGCATGTACACAACACTTAAGTAGAAGACATGCCAGATGACAGGCAGGATACTGTTGAATACATTTTGAAAGGTAAAGGTATACTATAGAATAACCAATAACTCGCAGCGTCATTGTTCTGAATTGCGTATGGGTGTGGTCCGTGACTACCTCAGAAGCTGTAAATAGGCGCTTCTAGTAGCTACACATCATTCCCCAATGAAAGCGGCTGAAATGAACCAGCATCGGGGTAACCCCCTACTCTTCCGAAAGATACAATAGGTTCTTCAAAGTACACACGAGCCAGATATGTACACTTTACCTCCATTTTTAAGTTCTTATCTGAGAAGACTTGGTTCTACCAACTGAACCCTGGGCAAGAGTGGCTAGAACCAGTGCCCTTGTTAAGGCACTAGTTAGCAGTGCCCCTGCCTTACCGCTCGGCCACTCGACTCGACATGCTACAAGCTGTGTATAATTACTATATCAGTCTTTTGAATAACATCTTTGGGTATGTATTTGCTGTGTATTTGTACATACATTTGTGTAACATTATTTACGAAGTTTTTATCTATATTGTGTCATTATTGACAGTGTATTTATTTGTACTTTCATACTAGGTCAAAAACGAATTGTGTTGCCTTAAATGGAAAAACCAGGATCGTCGGTCAGTCGGTCAAATACCTGATATATGTGGCTGGTCAAAAATACATGTCTGTGTTAGATTTTATGCTTTAAAAGTTAATTTTGCAAGTAATATATTTCTTGATTTGTAATTTGAGTGAAAGTAAGAACTTTGAAACAATTTTAAAATAAAAATATAAAATACCAGCGACCCAAATTTTTGGAAAATTCCAGATGGTCTGCTTTTTCTTTTTCCCCTTAATTATTTATTGGATTTGTTAATTTTATTTTGTATATTTGATGAACAATTTATCAATTTGCATCATTTTCATCATCCAAGATTAAAAAATCCCAAGTAGAAGGAAGACTAGATTAATAATTTTTCTGTATTGCATCTAACGATTTTTATATATATTTTCCCCTGATAATGAAATTACAGGAACTAAAAAACCATGACAACCATTATTGTTCAGTCGTTATGAAATCTGATAATATAATCTATATTAAAAAAAAAAACCATGCTGTTGGCATATTGCAGGTATTTCAATTACTGTACATAGAATATGTATGAGAACTGAAGCTGTATCTCTAGAGCCTGTTTCGCTATTGATTCCTATTATCATTATGACAATCTCTCCCTCTTTACAACATGGATTTCTAATGACTTGCTAATCAAGTATCATTAAATATTATTATTAATACTTTAGAATTTGCTCCAAAAAATCTTTACATTGGACAATAAATACCAATCAAAGAAAATATTTATTTTAAAGCATTTACAAAAATGATGATTACTTACTGTTTAAAAGCGAACTATCTGTGTAGTGTTATATAAACTTGCAAAATAATTATATTGTTTATTTTACTTATATTTAAGTTAATATCATTCAACTTAAATTTAGAACAATATATATTTCCCAACTAATAGTTGGATAAAACTATACCATTCATAAATCCTTTGCATATAGAATATTGGATAAATCTGCAGGCAGCTTAAAGCCAGTCTCTGGAGGAGAAAAACACTGTTGATAAGTTGTATAACATATCATAAATTTGTTTTTCCTCCGGAGTCTGCTTTGAGGATTTAGAAGTAAAAATTCTACAAAAAAACTTTGATCTACATGTCATTAAAAGCTTATTAGCAATTATATGTTTTAACTTAATGTTTTGAGAGTCGTTTCCAGATTTATCAGAGATACCACTAAAATAATTTTATAAACACAAATGGGGAAGACATTATTACAGTTTCAAATATAAAATGAAGGTACATTATAAGTTTCTCTGAATGGTTTCGTGAACAGCTTCTTAGAAAACATTTATCACTTTACAGAATCCACCTTGGAGAACGATTTGCTATTTCTTTCTTTTTCTTTTTTTATAATAATTATTTTAAAGATGCGTGGATATGTTAAACTATAGGAAATTTTAACTTTGGACTCTAGTCAATCCCATCCCTCTTTCTTAATGACATCATCAGAGGCAAGTCATATCAGTAAAAAAACAATTGGAACAAGCATTAGGTTGTAGACATGCTGATGGATTTAAGGGTTATCATTCTCTAAAGTATAGGATTTCTAGCACTGGCTTCTAGGAACGCCATGGAGCTGAACATTTCCTACCATGCAGACGTGCCATGCCCAACACACTTACATGTGTAGTTGCTTCTGGATTTCTGCTGCGAGGGCCAAACTTCCATTGGCAAAAAAATAGAGTTCAAGAGAATTAGGACAAGATAGATAAAGCAGATAACATGCAAAAGTTGAGAATAACTATGAAAAACGCAAAATATTTATATGTATCTAGGAGATATCTGATGACATTCAAGCAATAACTCATCCTGATTATTTACTAGGCTAGTCTGATTATTAATCTGTGGACATCCAGTTGTCTTTCATTTATCTCTTTGCTATGCCTTTTATGGATAAAAAATACATAGCCAGTGCCACAATATACTGCCGGCCAAATGATGTTGATGTTTAACTAGATTAGTGATCATGTGCATTTTAAGACATACTTTTATTATCTCAGAATGACATGAATTTGGCAAAATTTATGCTAATTTAGTAAAAAAATGTTTGACTAGTTATTAACAGTTGCTAAGAGGGGTAGGAAAATGCAAAACTCAGTTGTAAAGGACATTTGGCAACCATGAAACTAAATTGATGTTAATTTAAAAAAAAAAAATCTATTTTTGATGTTTAATATTATAGCAGTTGCTACGAGGTAGAAAGTACAAACATGATACTCATGTAACTTGACAACACTTGCTAAACTTAAAACTAAAAAAAAAAAATTCAATACTATATTTCAGCTCCGATGAGGAGCTAGAAACACTCCGCTGATTGATTAACAGATCTTTTTTAGCTCTTACTGCCTCTATTATACTGCCCTCACGAGGAGCTCTAGAAACACTCGTCTGATTAATAGTTGATTGATTAATATAACCTTTTCAGCTCTACTGCCTCTAATATACTGCCCTCGTCAGAGCTTCCAAAATTACAAGAAATTGTATTTTTTAGAGAGGATTAATAATATGTTTTATCCTCAGTCTTGCGTCATGGTTCCCTCAGCTGCAGTGTCGGACATCACTGCTGTTTTTGCATGTCACAGCTAATAAAACATTTTCATGTTGTACACTTCATGCTATAGGCATTTGTTATAGTATAATCAGTTCAATTTTGTCTATTTCTGTTTACTTACAACTTTATTTTGTTATGTTATTATTGATTGATTTGACTGAATAAATTCAAATCACATTTCTTAAATGTAATGTAAATGTAAAATACTGTAATGTGGGACTGACTGTATACTTACATGGGTTGTAGCATTCTTGCCTGTTCTTGGCTTATTTGACAGACAGTGCTTAGGACTCCAGTACAGCATGTATCTGTTCACACCATGGTCGTCTCCTGCAATAGCAAAACAAAAATGCGGTTTTCTATCCTTACAGCTTACAGGGGCAGGTCCACATATTTACAATCAGGGGAACATAATGTTTTCATCAAAACTGGTAAGGTTTTCTCTGAATCAGGTAAGTATAAGGCTTTAAAGGCAGTAGAGAAAAAAATTGAATCTTTTATTATGACAAACTGCATCTCATTATCAACACACCTACAAATATATAAACAATATAAATCATATACTGTATTGTTGTGGTATTATGGACATTTTGCCTTAGGCTATAAACCATAATGCGATATTACTGATTTTTTTTTGCAACATAATCCAGTCAAAGTGATGACAAATTATGTTGTTAAAAGCACAATACGAAAGTAAAGGTAATTATTATAAAATTTAGAATTATTAACATTTTTATGATATGCATTCCAATTTTCGCACTGATTTTATTAATGGTGTATTTATGTATAACTTATCGATCTGTCGTAGCAAATTTTGCATTTATAAGAGAAATGGAACAGAGAATAACACATACGTGTTGAGTTTTAGTCCACTACATTCTCTTGGGTTCCATAAATTTTATTTTAGTGTTTAAATTATTCATTATTAAAAAAATATATAAATTATTGTCTCACCAAGTGGTTTACGCCATTCCAGCTTTACATTGAGGGTACCGTTCATCCAGAACGGAGGATCGATATTTTTCATGTCGCGGACTGGTGGTGGCGTTGGCAATAATTCAAAATATGGGTTCATGGGATGGATGGGAGAAAAAGCTGGTTGGTCTGAAATCAACAATAAATGGCAGAAACAAAGTCATCGATAATGAATAAATTATGTACTATTAATGATATGCATTAACATATTTGATGGATGAATATTTATATGTTTATAGAATATTACTTACACTGCATTTGCAATTCAATGCTACAACTTCTAAAGTATTATTTTTGATTCTAAAAGAGGTTGTAGTTACATAGATCCAGGCTTTATTGAGCTGTGGTTCTCAGGCCACATTTGGAATGTTGTTTAATGATGACAACCAATGAAGATTACAAGCACCTTCTTGAGGCAGAAGCATTATTGATAGGCTATGCTTATATAACTTGATTTATCTAGTAACATCAGGGAACAGTTTAACTGTTCTTTGGTAACATTAAATAACCTTGTAGATGTAGATGTGGGTGTATGATATGCAGGTTCATAAAATTAAGAAGAAATTACTTGGTAATAGGAATTAACCTACTTACCACTCCAGGGAATAAAGATTACATTTAAATGATGGATTGGGGTTAAGTTACTGTTAGATTACTGTCTGTTGCTCCTATGTCTGGCTTCTAATTTGAAATGTATGCACATTAAGGTAAAGCACTGTGGGAACAATCACAGAGGTAGTTCCTCAGGCCAGGGTTAAGGGAGGGGTCAGTTTATACCCGGAGGGATCCCTTTTCAATCAAAAGGCAATATTTCTGCACATCATGCCAATTCAAAGCCAATATTTGATATTTTTTAATAGTATTAATAAAAAAAAGTCATACTATGGGCTTTTATGTCCAAGAAAAGTTTGGTATGTAAAATTGTGTATAAAATAGGGGAGGGGGAAGGGGTTGGGCTTACACCAAAGAGGGCTTATACCCGAGGAGTTATGGACATTTTCAAGTGCTGCCTCACTTTCATCCACTTTCCATCATTGGCTTCATTTTGAATGTTACATATTATTTTACTTTACATGATTACTTTCCCCCTTTCAAATGCTGATTATAAGGATAAGTTATTCATTGGTGGAGGGAAATAATCCTAGATTAGTACAGAATTTCAACCAAAGCCCGAAGGCAAGCATCATAAAAGAAAAACAACTATATATATCTATTACTTCACCAATGTTCTTTTCAAAAAACAAACTCAAATCAATCTCAGTGTGGGTGAGGGAATCAATACAAATTTCTGTATTCAGCTTCGTAACAACATACTGTACCTGATGGCTGGTCCGTGTCCATAGTGACGATATACATGGAGTTTCGTTCACTCTTGAGACGAGTAGAACCCCACTGCGCAAGGGCGAGTACTTGTACAAAGTACTTTGTATTTGGCAACAATCCTTTAATTTCATAACTATGTTCATTCTAGTGTAAAAATAAAAAGACGCAATATATAGTTGGTACACCAGCAAATGTCATAACATAAATCCATATGACCTTGAAGTCAACCTCCGGAGGAAAAACATTTTTTGATATGTCGTACAACTGATTTTTCAAAGACATGTTCCCAAATAGCATTTTTGACGAAAAAATTGGGAACGGTTAATGAGACACAGATTTTTGAATACTTAATAGCTGGGAGGGGGGAGGGGGAGAAAGGAGAGAAAGGAGGAAAAAAGGGTAGTTATGCACCTTTTTTCCCCAGTTTAAATAAACAAAAAGGAATATATTATATATTTCTTTAAAATATTCAACTTCCTATTATTAAATAAAAATATCATTGACAATTACAATACAGAATTATTTATAGAGAAAATGCAATTTATATTTTATTTAAAAAAATGACTTATGAATGATTATTGTGTTCTTAAACCAGAAGAGCTGAAGCAGCTGTTTATATAAGATATACGCCACTGGATTTGAGCTATTACTGTCCCATTTCAATTATAAATGCATTAATTAGAACACTCAGGACATTTCAATCTAAATATAGATATGAACCTGATAAGATACAGAAAGTAGAGCAAAGGTTAATGGATGGAAGTAAAAGTTTATTCATCAAAAGCGCGACATTTTATGAAACAAAAGCAGTTGTTGTTAATCGTACTATTTTTAAGCACAATATACTTGTGAGTTCAGATCTACAAATTCATATTATGCTTTGTTTTAAAAAGGAAATTCTCTGAAAAATTTACTCAAATATGTGCCTAGCATATTTTCCTATTATCTATTTTATATTTCCGTTACTTCCGTTAAGTTACTTAAGACACATAAGCCAGATGTGTAGGCATTTACTAAGCTCTTTAACACTATTAAAGTCCATGAGACCAAACTGAAAAGTTTACTTAGTAAACCTACTTATTGGTAAACCTAATATCTGGTTTTATCACATGACTTACAGCAGGTACGTTCCTACGGTGCTCGTCCAAGCTAACATAAACAGCTGAAATGCTGCTGAGTCTCACGCTCCAGAACACACGGTAACGTAATATATCCAGATCAGACTCTTTTGGGGGATCCCAGTAAATCCGGCATGAGACAGTCTTGTTCACCAGCTTTGACTCCCCTTCCCTCAGATTCTGTGGCACATTTGGAGGCTCAGGATCTGGAAGAGATTTGGAAAATGAATTAAAATTCTAAAACAAAGGTTTTATTAAGCGTTATCAGGAGTACTTTTTTTTTCTTTCTGCTGTAATGAATTTCATAAATTTTAAAGCAGTGGTTCCTAAAATTATGGGTCGTGACTCAAAATTGGGTTGTGACTCAAAACTGGGTCACCAAACAATATAGGCTGCTGGAATCTTTAGAATTTTGTTTATACTGAATTTTATATCACGCTAAAATTTTCTCAATAAAATGAAAGCATTCTATTAAGTATCATTTAAACATTTACTTCAATTCTATTTATTAGTTAAATGACCTATTTTGAGTATCTGTTTTTAACATCCTGGGAAGCAGGTCATGGCAAATTGCCTGGGCGTTTGTTTGGGTCGTTAGCCAAAAAGTTTGAGAACTGCAGTAATTGTAGTAATTGCAATTGAAGGCCAACTGCACAGAGTCTGGCCTATCTTTCACTTGAATATTTATACAGACGGTCTCAGTGACGTTTAAGCCGAAAATTTATTTTTAGTACATTCAATATTTTTAGAATAATCTTATAGCGTTGGTTTAGAATAATTGATTGTGGATCAAATGATTTATAATTATATTTTTTTATGTTCTGTATAACATTTAGGTATAAATTTGCAGTGTACATAAACCAAATATTATAACTATTGCAAATCCACCACAAACCTTTTGCAGATTACTATAAAACATATCTCAGCATTATTGTCAAAGCAAAACATTTCTAAAGCTTTTATTGCAAAGCATCTACGATTTCTGCCGGGTTTTTTTTTAAAGCATGTTGGTATTTACTTGTTATGTCAAATATTTTGACAAGTATTCTTGTTTAAATTTTTTTTTTATTATTTATTTATTTTTGTATACATTCTTAATTGTTTATTCAAATTTATTTTGCAAAGCATTTTAGTGAATGACATAGTGCAATGATTTTCACAACACATTTTACTAATATTTTGGAAAAGCATGCTATTCTTCTTGAGTGTCTTATAAAATTAATAATTTACAAAAAAAGCTTAGGTACCTGTCTGATGGTCTAAATTTTCTTAGGAATATTTTGCAAAGCATATGGGCCTGTCTATATGCAGAAAATGCTGGTTGACTGTTCTGTTTAATATTAGATGATGGTAAAATGTGCTAGTTAAGCATCATGTTTTAGCCTGCTAAAATATTTCTCAATGGTAGCCTATTATAGTTACTAAGATTCATGGTTTTGTATGCATTGTCCGTGCATTTATTTTACAGCTGCACTAATGTAAGAGATGTATTCAATAGACAGGTTTCACTTACCCACTGATAATTTGAAGGGGTCTGATGGTCGGTTGAAGCCTAGCGTGCCATTACGATTAACAGACGCAATTTGAAACTCGTAAAAAACACCTGGCTTGGCAATCATCCTATAGTGTTGTTCAACAGTCTATAGAAGAAAAAGAGTAAATAAAAATATAGGATTTAATAAGATGACAGATTATGTGTATCAGCTTAAGTGGGAGTTGGTGTGGGTTAAACATTCCTCTTTATAAAAGCATGATTTATTTTTAGTCAGTTCATTTATTGATTTTAGATCTTGATTATAACAGTATCTGTATTTTTCTTAGTCAGACTTAAAAGTATATAATGTAGCTTTATATTGTTTATATAATTAATCTCTCACATTACAATTCTGCGTTCCAAAGAACTTGACATTTGCCACATCTTTTTCCTTTGAAATGTGGAAGACGTGTCCCAGACTGTTCCCCACCGATTGACACCCACGTTGCTTACGTTAAGCAAAAACTTCATCTTCATGGCCCCCCCCTTCAGGGCCCCCCAATCCCAAATTTCAAAACTAGATACATTACTATATATTGGGAATAGGAATATAACATAACTTTACTCTGCAAGTATTGTATGGTATGTGTGATGTCTCCTTGAATATCAGATCTCATTTAGGATAGAAGTTTCTACTTGAATGTGATCTGATCTCCTTTGAGAAAATTAAAGAAAATTACCGAAATACTCACATCTGCAACGTGGTACCAGGTGTCCATCCTATTCTTACTTGGGTGATGACCCGTGTTGTTTTTACTCTGTATCACATAATATACTATATCAGTGGGAGACAGTGCCTTACGTGTACTCCACCGTAAAATTATTTCCTTAGTGGTTACATCTTCAGAGACATCAATAGTATTCCGAGGTTTGGACGGTATATCTGTAGATATATTCAATAAAATGTATATATGTTTAATACAAAATAAAATTGTAGGAAAAAAAAAACCATTTATCAAAATAGTTAAATAGGTCTACATGGATTTTACTGATCTAATACTCTGCAGTTGACATGTAAAGATTTAATATTGCTTCAAAGATGTTTTTTTTTTACTCAATGCCTTTATGCTTCTCATATCATTACTTTAGTCACTGTATGGTACCAATATATATAAATATTTTGGTCACTGTATGAAACAAATATACAAATATATTTGTGTAGCAGTGGGAACGGTTTGGTTTTCTAACCTCGAGGTCAGGATTGCCATCCTCGATGTGCATTTTGCTTGTTTCATAGAGCAAGGCACTATATCTTCGTTGCTTCTCTCTACTTGGAAGTATAAATGGGTACCTGGTGGGGCGGCCTGCTACTGCGCCAATATGGCAGCAACACTTAAGCATGGAGAATCAATGACCAGGGAAAAAAAAGTGCTTTGTAACCAAAAGGAAAGGCGCTATAAATACCAATTTAAATAAATACACTAAAAAAAGGAACACAAGCATAGCTGCCTGGAATAGTATTCTGTAAAGTTGCACATTTGAATTAAAACTAATCAGGTACTAATAATAAGCTGTGTTTTACAAGTGATAGTAAAAACAATGGATAAAATTAATGATAACTGTGGTACATCGCCCAAATTGTACATAAATTAGTACATGTTATGCAAGCCAACCAAAAATATCACAATTTTGTCCACACCCATCAAAGTTTATGAAACAAATGAATGTGATATGCCCATATTCGGATGTAATTATGACATCACCATGACCGTATATATGGGCACATCATATTTGATAAAGTTTGATGATGTATGGAGAGAGCTTGACAGCCTTTGAATCACTACCCACCTTCTGAGTACGTAATGGGATATTGGCAAGTTCTGCCACAACCATTGAAGCAACACTTCTTTCGCCCGTCGCACTCTGAATCGTTGCCACAAGTTTGTAAACAGGTCTTGGCAAACCCGGTGGCATCTCTAGGATTCGGACACGTTCCTATTTTACTGTTGTGTCTCAGCTTCAAAAATTCACACGTTTCAATACATGTCTCCTTTTGAGGTTCCTCCTACAAAATGGGAAACAACAAATATATAATGCATTGGTGATGAACAGGCTACCACCAACTTGGCATCGTAGGTCTGTGGTTAGCCCAACTAAATAGTGATTAGTGTTATGGGGGTTAAAGCCTAATTGAAAATAGCTAACAATTAATATATTTAATCAATCAATCAATCTATCATCAGGCTGTTTCACCCACTGCTGTATGAAGCCTTGCTCTAGTATTTTTCATCTTTTTCTGTCCATTACCACTCTTGCCCAGTTTGTTGTTCCCATTTTCAGCATCAATGGGTTACACTTCATAGGTGTGGATAATATAAATGGAACAGAAATTGAGAGAACTAGACAAAGAAGAACATCTTCTCCAAGCAAATAATATTAATATGCTAGTTCCTAAAATATTGTATTATATACTTACATTGCATTTAAACTTGCAATTTGCTTGATTTTTATATTCTTGTGAACATGGCATAATACACT